GGACTGTTTACTACAACATTATTATTTCATGGTTTGGTTTTGATGCGAGGAGTTAAGGTTGAGTGAGACAACTGGTTATTCTTATTTTCTTCATGTGAAGGGAGGATGCAGAGAAAACACCTTCTTTTTGTTTTGACCAAGATAGTGAGGGAGAGAGTGAAACCAAATCCTCTTTGTCTTCCCAATTAGTTTCCTTAAGTGGAAGATCCAACCATTGGACTAAAACCAAGGATATTATTTTCCCACCCTTGAGCCACACCATGTGAGATCCAATGCCGACAATCGAAACTTGATGTAGTGGAGGTTCCTCCTTGAATGATGGAAGGTTGTGGGTGCTGTATTGGTGGCTAGAAAAAATATCTTCAACAACGAAATGTGAAATACTAGATTTATCTTAGACTTAGCCGACAATTAGAGTTGGTAAGCAATCGATCCTACTCTTTTCTAATACCTTGTATGGACTATAAAATTTGAGGGCTAACTTGTGGCATAACCTTTATGGATCAAGAGGTGTCTGTATGACTACAATTGAAGCAATACGAGATCCCACTGTTAAAGGTAACATCTTCCTTTCCTTTATATGCTTGAATCTTCATAAAGGTTTGAGTTTTCTTCATCTTTTATTTTAAAGATACAAGAACAATGATGTTGGTTGAAGTCAGAGTCAATGGCTTCAACATGGCAAGATCCAAGAGCCTAATCGGGAAGAGTCGGAGGAGGTCTGTTATACATCACTTCATAAAGGGTTGCACTTGTAGATCAACTATAGATGGTATTGTAATGGAACACTGCCCAAGGCATTGGGATCATAATGTAATTCTAACTAAAAAATGGATGTATAATCCATAGTAAGACTCGTAAAGGTTGAGGAATGAGGAGTGCAGTGCTTGATCTCCCTATCTGGTTGTCTAGACAAAGCATCTGCAATCGTATTTAGTTTTCTATATTTGTGTTCTGTCCTAAGGACAAATATGTCTAGTCAAAAGACTAGTAAATTACTCTTGGATCAAAGTACTCTCTTAGATATCTATGGATTAAATATCTTGCAATATGAAAGATCACCGTGCACAAATATTAACGACTTTGCCAAATAGGTGATGTGGGTACAGTGATAGCATAATAATATAGAGGGAAAAGTGTCATAGTTGTATGTTTTACCTCTTATTTATTGGATTTACCTATGAATATTAGAATTATGGACCTTTAATGCCTCCTCTTAAAGCCCAAGCCCAAGTTTAATATTGTCGTATTAAGATTAGTATCTTAGATTGATACTATTCTTTAATTATATTAGTTTCTTCTTTCTATTGTCCATTATTGGGCTTCACATAATATGAGCCTCATATATGAGTGGTAACAATTTGTATGCTATCGTGTATTGGTAACCCAACAATTTGGAAAGGAATTGTTGCTGCTCCAATGACTAATAACCTAGGTTTTGGATTTCTATAGTAATAGTGAACAAAACCCCTAACAAATATTGCCACCATTGGGTCACAGTTGAGGTGATCGTATACAACTCTCGTACATATATGGACTTGCCTTACATAACACAAGATAATCTCTTGCTATTGAAAGTGATTGGGTAATCAACTTCAAGAAGAGTTATATTATTTTAGATGAAGTTTTTTTTTTAATTAAAAATAATGATAAAATATTTTAATATAATTAATAAGTTTTTTAGATTAATTTATAAAATTTAATATTTTTTTTATAGATTTAATAGAGTAACTATAAAAAATTATTATATATTAACCTTTATAAGAGAAGGTCGTGGTGTCTGAGTGAGCGCATGAAACAATGAAGAATACTTATAGTGTTTAGTTGATGACAATTATAATAATCCTAATTTTATAATTTCAAAATTATAGGATTATTATGAAGACCTAGGGTCATAAATGGAATGAGGATGAAATTCTAAGAAGTTTGATATCCATATTGATGGTATTTTACATAGGTGGATTTTCATCTGTTATTTTTGACTGTTGACGCAATAACAGTCAGTAGAATAGCTTCAATTTAGCAAATTTGAGTTAGAGAGCTATTTTGATGATATGATTATAATAGATAAGGTTAGTATATGATTTGATGAAGTTTGATACCCATATTGGGGTATTTTGGAAAAGTCACTTCTGTCGGATTTTATGTACTGCTGTAGAAGCGGCCGGTAGAATTCCAGAACGGAAAAAAGATGAGAAAATGGAAAAAAAGATCAACATATTCCTAACAAGTCATAATTAGACCAATAATGTTAAAGTTAAGAAGATTATGAAATCCGGGTACAGTTAAGAACACCGGTAAAATATACAGTGCAATTAAACAACAGTAAGTGGATCTGTGATCCACTAATCAAATTTTTAAGTTATGAACATGATAATTAGACAAAATTAATATTAATTGCTTAAATTTTGAGTCTTGGAGGTTCCGGGTGGAAAAATTGATAACAGTTCAGATAAAAATTACACTGGGTGTCACTAAAGGACAGAAAGTCACTTAAGTGACTTGGTCAAAACCCTAAAAGAGACTAGGACAGCCTCCTCTCTCTCATTTCAGCGTCACTTTCTCTATCTACATCATTTTTGAATCTCAAGCTTTTCTCTTCATTCTCTCTAGCTTTCCACCACCAAACCTCCATCAAAATCACCAAACACCCTTCACAAAACTTGTTCTCCTCATCCTCCTCTTCAAGGACATACTATTTTTGTTCTTGAAAACCAAATTTTTGTGGTGAATATCCCTCCATACAGCAGCGATTTTTGAGTATGTTCAAGCCATGTTGATGATGTTTTGAGTTCCCCTTGAAGAACACCACTTTGGTGCTTGTTTCCTTAAGTTTTTGTGTAAGTTTCTTGAACCTTGTTCTTGAAAAATCCCACTTTTGAGTTGTGTTCTTGAGTTCTAACTTTGAGTATTTCTTAAAAGTGTGTTCTTTATGGGAAGAAGGCATTTTTGCTTGAGAAATATGGGAGCTTGAAGCCTTGGTGCTCACTTGAGAAGTAAGCATGAAACCTTGGTGAAATGGTGACCAAAATCCTCCCCCACCCACATGCACAATTCGTCCAACATTTGTTCATCATGGGATTGATGTTTTAAATTAATAAAAATTGGTTCTTGATGTTCGAAAGTGTGGATAATCATAAGTGGGACCAAGGGAAATGTTAAAAATGCAATATTTAATCTTAAGAACACTAATTTTGATTAAAGAATGGATTTAAACCCTAATAATACCACTTAATCAAATCTGCCCCTTGGAGTATGATTAGGATTTTATGTTTAAAATTTAATTAAATAAGGGATTAGTGGACTAATTAAGTGTAGGACTTAGGGTTGGCAAAACGGGCCAACCCTGTCCGATCCAGCCCAACCCGCATTCAACCTGAAAAAAACGAGCTGGGTTAGGGTTGGCTCGAGAAAAAAACGAGTCAGAAAACCCAACCCAACCCGACCGGAGTCGGGTTAGGGTTGGCTCAAGCATATGGCTCGTGGATTGGCTTGAAAAAATAGCTCGTGAGTTGGCTTGAAAATTGGCTCGCGGGTTGGCTTGTTTTCAGCCTATTTAAATGACCTTGTAGTATTAATGTACCAACTATATAACTTCCATTAGCTTAAACAAAGGGTTACAAAATGAGAAATAAAAGCAAAATATTTCAGTTTCGAATTTTCTTCACAACAAATTTGCATCAACATCCAGAAACAATTAGAACCACTTGCTATCAAGTGGGTAAGATATTTGAACCAAACAGAGCCAGCACAACCTAACAATATAGAAATGGCAGGGATATGAGAAGATTAGGGACTTAAGTTTAGAGAAGGAAGAAAAATGATGACAACATGTGTGGGTTTTGTCCATTTTTGTATATTATATTTTGTATTTTTTTATATAAAAAAAAACTCAACTCGCGAGCTAGCTCGTTTGACCCGCGGGTTGGCTCGTTTTTTCACTGGTTGAAACGAGCCGGGTTGGCAGCTCATTTTTGCCAACCCCCCGGCTCATTTTTGGCGGGTTACGAGCCAACCCGACGGGTTGGCTCGTTTTTGCCAATCCTAGTAGGACTTAAATTAACTAATGAAATGGAGAAGTTGACAAGCTAAAACCCTTGTTTATAGCACCTAAACAATTCGGCCAATTAGGGATCAATTAGGGTTAGTATGTTAATATTGATTCAAGACCTAATTAGGATACTAATCTAAGGTTTAAGTGAGGTAGACCATGCATAATGGACTAATTAATTATAAAATCCTAAAACTGGACCTAATTAGGGTTTAGAAGCACTAATTATATAATTCGTGAAATTAATAAACTAAGACCTAATGTGACTATGTGTGAAAGCATAAGTGACATAATAGGGAAAAGTGTGTATCATTGCAAATGATGTAAAGTTGTGTCATTTTAAGAGAGAGAAAGAGATAGATAAAGGAGGAGAGAGAGTTGACAAAAAAAATAAAAGTGTGGGTCCCACCTCTTTGTGAAAGTGAAAGAATATAAGTTATGTCATTTAAAAGGATAAACACTTTTCCCGACATAATAATATATAAAACCCTAAAGTTAAAGTAACCCAGAGTTTCTGATAATTAGAATTTGCTAATTAAACCTAATTATAGAGCTAGTTAACAACCTAGGTTTAAGAGTAGTTTTGTGGACACATGACCATGTAATATAATGAAAGAAAATCATAAAGAATCACACTATTATTATTATGAGATTGTCTTTTCTTATGTCATTGAAGATAAGAATATCTCCTACAAAAACATTTTTAAGTGGGTCGCATACTATAAAAAAAAAAAAGAATTTGATGGCTTAAATTTCGAAGAATCTATAGCATGAGGTAAGCTTTCTTCAATAGCATAAGAAAAATATTACCCTATTATTATTGTTGTTGTCGTGATTATTATTTTAGGGTTTTACGGTAATTGTGGGCAATGCAGACATCATAGACCATTACCTAATATTTCTCTCTATATCATCCTATCTATCTTATACAAGCAAAAATGCCCTAAACCCTCTTCATCCACGTCGATTAGTTCTTTCAAACTGAATTGGAATCCCATGACCTTGCAGACAACAACCCGTGTCTCTTTGTTCTCTGCCTCTCTATCTTCATCAGCAACACATTTAAATGTCCATGAGGTACACTGCACTCTGTTTCTCTGTCTGCATACACATTATATATCTATTTTGTTCCGTTGCATGTTTGTAAATCTGTTGCACATTTATTTTGGATAGTCCCCAAATTGTCTTCCTATTTTCATGACTTTGCAGACAACAACCCGTGTCTCTTTGTTCTCTGCCTCTCTATCTTCATCAGCAACACATTTAAATGTCCATGAGGTACACTGCACTCTGTTTCTCTGTCTGCATACACATTATATATCTATTTTGTTCCGTTGCATGTTTGTAAATCTGTTGCACATTTATTTTGGATAGTCCCCAAATTGTCTTCCTATTTTCTGAACTTCAGAATTTTCTTGTCTGCTTTCTTTGCTATAATGGTTGCTCTGTGATTTGCTATTTCTCTATAGCATTCTGGGTGGTCACTCCACAGGGCGTTCCACCATTAATTACTTTTCTGAGGAGTTGTATATTTGAGGTTGGAAAAATTTGTTTTACCCTTAGCAGTATTTGGAAACCCTATTTTTCTCAATGTGATCCCTGCGGTTGCCTAAAATTTCTTAAGCTGAAGTTTAGAGCCGAGGTGGTCTCATTCAGGATTATGACATGGTTATTCAATAATAAAGTTGCTACTATTACTATATTGATATTACACATGGTATCCATTACTGTGTGAATGAACCGAGTTAATTTGTATGAAGTTGTGCAGGGATAAGTATCATGCTTGGTCATGCAAAATGAGGTTTAAAAGGGGTGATAGATTAAAGAAATGTAGAGAAATTGACTTGGTGACATTATGAAGTTGATTTACTGAATGAATGCCTTTTCTCTTTCCTGTTTTCAGTTTATATATTTACTGGTTTCTAAGGCTATTGACAATAAAATGGAAGTGTCTAATTCTATAAATTTGCCAACGATAGTTTTCTTTTAATTTCACAGGAGTTGATATAATCTGCAAGAATGATACATATTTTTTTGGTTTTTGTGTAAAGAAGATGGGTTCATTTTTTCTGCAGTGAATACAGATAAGTTATTTGCATTGAGTCCAAAACGACGTCGTTTTGGGGCGGAAACAAGGTGTTTTTGTAATAATCTTTATCATAATAAGTTTTTAATCTTTCAACCCAAAGCGACATCGTTTTGAGAGTGAATGTAGATAATTTATCTGCATTTACTGTAGAAACATTAAAGCCTTCAATTGAAAACACGTTAGGCACTGTACACTCGATTGTTAATTAAGCCACTATACTTTTAATAGCAGACTAAATGTTTCTGTTTGTTTTATGATTGGTTGTCTTGATAAATATAAGAAAACCTCATAAAGCAGTTAATATGGGAAAGAGTGATAACTTCATTAACTTGCTTAAAAATGCTGAGCTAGATTGAAGGAAAGTTTCCTTGAATGGTTTTTCAGCTATAATTACTTTAATGTCTCCCATTAGCCTTAAAAAATTGTTCCAGTCGGTATATAATTTAGTAGCTCTTAGATTGAAGATAAGATAGATAAATCTTACAAATGGAAGTAAATTAATATTCCTATTTGTTTGAAATGCAAATATAGCTTCTTATTTTGAGAAATGAACTGCAATGTGAAGCTTTTTGGCCAGCTCGTACCAGTGGATTAATTAGATTCCTCTCTTTAAAGGAAAACATTTTGCTTTGTCATTTTTTCTTTTCAAAGTAACTAACTGGTTGCAACATCTGAATTTATTCTCTATTTTGTGGTTTGAGCTTTCGGATTCTCGTGGGTTTAATCATCCTTTAGTTCTAGTTTATGTCTTGCTTCTTAATAGCGAGGGTTTTGGCTTTGGCTTTGGTTTTATATGATACAGCTTGCTTGAAAGAATTGGTAATTTGGATTGTAGAAAATGACAAATGATGATCTAATGCATAAGACTTCTGAGGAGAGATAACCTTTGTTTTAAATTTCTATTTACATTGCTGGGCCTTGTTTTTAGCAGTGAAGTCCTTATCTTAGGGTTGTAGATACAGACACAGTACAGTCTTCATTTCCCATCATGTGTATTTCTGTGACTGTATTTTTATATGGTGTTATACCTTCATTTCAACCTATTTGTGATGTATATTCCCTCTCTTCTAACACTTGTACTAGTGTAGCCTAACAGGTAAAATTGTTCATGTCTGAGGATTACCCATCAAAAGTTGGCCAGAAATCACAAGATCATCGTCAAGCAAAGACAACTTCAGTGTTACATTCAAGTGCTAATGAACCTGATGATTTACCCCTTGGGTTTGAAAGCAGTCATTTCCTGAACCAATCAAAGTTCAAATTTTCCCATATTTCCCAGATGAAATGGGAATGCCCTCCCCCGGTAATTCTCCTCTGTATGTTATTTAGGACCTCCATTTGCAAGTAGCTCACTCTATTGCAATAACTATTTTATTGTTTTTTCCGTTGGTTCTTAATTTTTTTTTTTTTTAAACTTTTGTTTGATACTCTGCTTTGTCTAAATAAGTTTCAGATTCTTTTGTCACTTCGTTGATTTTTTACTTGTCAATACAGGTTATTCTCAATTCTGGTTGGCTTGTTGCGGCTGGTGAAGAAAGTAGGGAGAGAGAGGTTCAGAAGCTGAGAGAAAAGAGAGTGCTTGAAGCAGTTTATCCCCGTACTTCTGCCATTCCTCCTAGGTAAAATGTCACATTAATTTAGAAAGCCTTTTGGTACTTCATTTTATTTTGTTACTAACATTGTTGACATGCATTTGGGTGTGTAGCCCTTCTGTTTTTTGGAATGTAGAAGAGGAAGAATATGATGATAACCTTACTCCTCTCATCCCTATGATTCCCATTGAGGAGCGAGAGTCTTTGGAGATTTCGCCCGAATTGGCAGTAGCAGCTAACCCTGCCCCCAATTTGCAGTCACAGAACTTGCAGCAATATATGTTGGCTATAACCCCCATCAATTCAGACTGTAATGCCTCCTGTACTGTTTCCTCGGATGCCTGTGCAGTGCCCTTATCTGGGATATCTCCTGACTTAGCAGCAGCCTCTGCTGTTGTAGCAGCCATCAATGAGCAAGGAAGCTTGATTGACATGGATCTACTCGTTAAAATACTTAATGACCCAAAATTGATTGAGAAACTGATTAATGAACAAAGAACTGCACCCACCACTATAAGTGCGTCCTCAAATAATAGGGGTATACCCACTTCTGGATTGAAACCTGCTATTCCATCAGTTCCGTTGTCTACTTCTGCACGTGATGCGGCAACTTCTAGGATTACTCCCACAAGTACAGTGGTTTTATTACCTTCTGGGTTGAAGCCTGCAACTCCATCAGTTTCATTGTTGAATCCCTCACCTGATAAGCCAGCAACTCTGTCAGTGTTAGCAATTCCATCAGGGTCACTGTTGTCGGCTACAAATGATAAGCCTGCGATTGCATCAGTTCCATTGTCTAGGCCTTTTCCTGGTAAACCCTCAATTCCATCAGGGTCACTGTTGTCGGCTATATATGATAAGCCAACGACTGCATCAGTTCCATTGTCCAGGCCTGTTCCTGGTAAACCAGCATTGCCACCAGTTTCAAAGTTGTCGGCTATGCATGATAAGCCAACAACCGCATCAGTTCCATTGTCTAGGCTTGTTTCTGGTAAACCAGCAATTCCATCACTGAGGGCTACACATGATAAGCCAGCAACTGCATCAGTTCCATTGTCTAGGCCTGTGCCAGGTAAACCAGTAACTCCAGTTTCTTTCCCTACACCTCCACCTGCACCTCATATGCACAGGCCTGTCAACCGAAACATTCATCATATTTCAAATGGAATGCCACCTGCTTTAAATAAGCAACCTCCTCAACAAGATGCAGTTCTGGCATCTGGGGTAAAGCGAGCTGCATCATTGGCTTCAATATCTTCTAGTGAATTAAGCTCGATTCCATTGCCTTATACTAATGGGAACTTGCATTCAGTTTTTAATCAGGCGCAATTCTCAGCTAGTATAACTCCTTATCCACTAAGTACAGGTTCAGCATTTCGGGTAAAGGATGTCAACTATTATAAAAACCTCATTAGGCGACATGGTGCTGCAGATAAGCAAGATATGCAGAACTCACAAATAGGTAACCATCATAGTAATTTCCAAGATTTGAAATTGGAACATAACATTAAACAAGGTGAAGCCAAACTCAAAATCCAGAAACCATGCATATACTTTAATAGCTCAAGAGGGTGCCGAAATGGTTCCAATTGCCTCTATCAGCATGATTTATGAGTTCAGTTGGGAGCTGGTAACGTCCTAGGGGCCCAGAATGCAAAGAGAGTGAAATTAGGACCAGAAATTTAAGGGAGAACATAATCTTAAGCGGCATATTCCAAAGGTAAAAACTTTAAAGCTTCTTTTTTGTTTCACCCTGTACAGATACAGAAGGGGATGGAAGGAAGGAGTGAGAGGAAGAAAATACATTGATTTTATAGGAGGATTACAAAGTTTTCTGGTTGTTCTTGGTGTTGGTCGTCGGATTTTGATTTGAAGTAGTTCTAGTAGAATTGGGTCGTGGACTGGGTTTATTGGTTTGAAAAATAGAAAAGCATCCGTTTATAATTTTTTTTTTTACAAATTATACTAAGTATGACTGGTTATGAACTTTTGATTGAAGTATGACTGGTCATATTTAGTATAATTTGTAAACAAAAAGTTTGTAAATATATCTTTCTCCTTGAAAAATTGACATTAATGTGTTTTGGACAAAATGGTAATTTCATTTTTTGGGGAATTTGTGTGTTCTCCATCCAGTGAAGTGGTGGTCCATCCATGGAGTTCATTGGCGGACCGAGCCATAAATTTTCATTGCATAATAAGAAATCATAAAAAAGAAATAATAAAAAACATGGGAATTTTTTAAGGGAAATATAAGCTTTATGTTGCATAAGAAAGCTATTTCATGTTATATACCAATAGAATTTTGTGTCAATTTTTTTTTTTTTTAATTGTGGAGCTCACGTATTTGTCTCATCTATATGAGAGTATTATCTCCAATAACATGAAATTAATAACTCTCATATTTAATGACCTAGCCATTTAATGATAAAACACGAAAAAAAAAATTTCAATCTGGGAAAAGAATTTTATTTTTATTGAGGTTGTTTTTAATAATTTGCTTCACAATGCTCAATATTTGTAGGGACCCGAAGATTAACATATTCTCGTGAGAGGATAATTTTTAATTTTTTTAAGATGAGATTTAATTATAAGGGAAAAGTTTATAAACCCTCATCTTTTATCACTTACATTCTTAATTTTTTTTTTCCTTATCAATCACCCCTTCGTGGTTTTTTTCCATCAAGTCCACCTTAATAGTGTTAAACTTTCTAATGAATATGTCTATTTTACTCTTTTTAACAAAAAAAATTACACCGGGCACGTGTAACCTTTTATTGGTATTCAAAGCTTTGCCACAAGTAATCTTCTTGGTTTGTTTCTCCATCATTTCTTAACACAAGATTCCCATTGTCTAATGTTGGGCTTCCTCATTCAATGCTAAGCCCAAGCCCATTTGAGGGGTTTCCTAAAAACCTTAACCCTAATTTCCACCTCTTCTATATATACTCATTAGTTGAGGGTGGAGGCTATGTCAGATTTGAGAGAATTATTTTGATTGTTTGAGCAAGGCTTTATGCTTTGCATTTGAAAGATCTCTAGAGAGAGAGTTTGAGTGAAACATCTCTAGGGTAGTTTGATTATCACCATTGTTGGAGAGGTTGAGTTAACCACCACATTGGCGTATTTGATTATTTGTAACCATTATTTTCATAGTGGATTTTTTGATCTGGACTAGGTCCCGTGGGTTTTTTACTTCTTCATTGGAGAAGGTTTTCCCACGTTAAATCTGGTTGTGTTCTTCTTCTCTCTCTCCTGTTTTCGTTTTGATTTTTCGCTGCGCTGCCTGACCTGGTGAAGTTCAGGCCGAGGTATTGCCGAGATCCGAGATCAGGATCTTGTTGATTGACTTCCGCACAAAAAGCCCCTGAGCCGAGCTTGAGGGAACCGAGTTTTCCCAACAGTGGTATCAGAGCCCGAGTTCGACGGGTTCTGAGGGAGACGAGATGGAGACCAGTGGCATAACTCATGATGGAGATATGTTCAAGTTGACCGCAGACAATTTCACATATTGGAGACCGATGATGGAAGATCATCTCTACTGCAAAGATTTGCATGAGCCCATTATCCTTGATGAGAGACCGAAAGGAAAAACTGATAAGGAGTGGGAAATCCTGAGTCGGAAGGCGGTAGCCACGATCAGGAAATATATTGATAAAAGCCTCTTTGAGCACGTGTCCGAATTCACGAACGCGTATGAGTTATGGACGAAATTAGAGTCCATGATTCAGAAGAAGACTCCCAGGAACAAAGCACACCTGGTTCGCCGACTTGTTAAGCTTGAATACAAGGACGACATGAGCATGATTGAACACCTGAACACCTACAAAGGTATTGTGAATCAGCTGTCAAAGGCTGATATGAAAATTGATGAAGAATTGCAGGCATTGCTGCTGTTGAGCTCGCTGCCAGAAAGCTGGGATACTCTGGTGGTGACCCTGAATAACTCGACTCCAGATGGAAAATTGAAGATGGATGTCGTGACAGACAGCCTCCTGGGCGAAGAATCCAGGAGAAGAGAATGAGGTACTTCGAGTACGTCTGAGGCCAACGTTGCTGAGAACAAAGGGAAATCCGACTCCCGCGGTAGAAGCAAAAGCCGGGGGAGAGGTCGTGACAGACGAGACAAGTCCAGAGGTCGGTCAAAGCCGAAATATGAGTTGAAGTGCTTTTACTGTGGAAAGACAGACCATAAGAAGCCAGACTGCTGGACCCTACAAAATGATGAGAAGAACGGCTCTGTGAAGCCGGATCAGATTATTCCTAAGAAGAGGGAAGACAAGAGCACCACTGCGATGGCTGCTAACCCGGATGCCGAGATATTCCTCCTAGGTGAGGATAATTATTTGAATGTTGCATATGATGACTGCACCTGGATTGTTGACTCTGGTGCCTCCTTCCACGTTACTCCATACAAAGGTTTTTTCTCCTCTTATCGAGGTGGTGATTTTGGAGTCGTGAAGATGGGAAATCAGGTGACCAGCAAGATTGTTGGTGTCGGTGATGTAACTCTGACCACAGATGTCGGATGCCGACTTGTGTTGAAAGACGTAAGGCATGTTCCTGACATGCGTTTGAACCTAATCTCGGTAGGCAAACTTGATGATGCCGGGTTAGTGAACTATTTTGGTAGTGTTAGATGAAAGCTGGCTAAGGGAAACTTGGTCGTGGCCCGAGGTAAGAAAGAAGGCTCCTTGTACGTGATGCAAGGAAAGATCAATGGCGGAGAAGCCAATTCTGTTCGAGATGAATCTAGCTTGGAGCTATGGCACAAGCGCCTCGGCCACATGAGCGAGAAAGGGCTACAGATCCTGAACAAGAAAGGATTACTGACTGGGTTGAAAGGCCAAGCGTTGGAGAGTTGCACGCACTGCCTAGCTGGAAACCAGCACCGGGTTTCTTTTGTAAGACCGGATCAACCAATACGACGCAAGTATATTCTTGACCTCGTCCATACTGATGTCTGCTCCATGTCGGGAAGATCCCTTGGAGGAGCTCAGTACTTTGTTTCATTTATTGATGACCATTCCCGCAAAGTGTGGGTATATTTGTTGAAGTCTAAAGACCAAGTACTCCAATCCTTTAAAGAATTCCATGCTATGGTTGATAGGGAGACTGGCAAGAAATTGAAAGTGGTCCGATCTGATAATGGTGGTGAGTATTGCGGCCCATTTGATGCATACTGCAGAGCGGCCGAGATTCGACTTGAGAAGACGCCTCCCAAGACACCTCAGCTGAATGGACTGGCTGAGAGGATGAACAGAACTATTGAAGAGAAGGTTCGAAGCATGTTATCCAATGCCGGATTGCTGAAATCATTCTGGGGAGAAGCCGTCAAAATAGCTGTTGACTTGATCAACCTCTCACCATCACGGCCACTTGAAGGAGAAATTTCAGAAGAAGTCTGGACAGGTCGGAAAGCGGCCTATAATCAATTGAAAGTGTTTGGATGCCAAGCTTTCGTGCATATCCCTAAAGATGAAAGGGCCAAACTTGATGCAAAGACTAAAGAATGCATTTATCTTGGTTCGCCGAGATGTGAGTTCGGGTTCCGACTTTGGGATCCAATCAATAAGAAGATCGTGAGAAGTCGAGATGTGATCTTTCATGAGCATGAGAATATTCATGACATCTCGAAGCCCAAAGTCTGGGTTACTGTCAGACGTGAAGAACCCGTCCCTCATGTCCGAGCTGAAGCAGGGGGAGAAAATCAAGAGAATGAAGAAATTGATGACCAGCAACAAGCTGAAGATGACCAAGACACTGAGGTTCGAGCTGATGATGAGATCCAGGATGAAAATGATGAACCGGGTTCTCAAGCTGAAGAACAGCCGAGATATCCAACTCGAGAAAGAAGACCCTCTACGAGATACCCATCTGATGAGTACACCGTTGTTGCTGAAGACGGTGAGCCTCAGTGTTATGATGAGGCTGTAACGAGCTCAGAGAAAGAAGAATGGAAAAAGGCAATGCAGGACGAGATGAAGTCTCTGCACGAGAATCAGACTTATGAGCTGACTGAGTTGCCTAAAGGAAGAAGAGCTCTGAAAAACAAATGGGTCTACAAGATTAAGAATGAAGAGAACGGGCAAAAGCCGAGATACAAAACCCGGATTGTGGTGAAAGGCTGCAATCAGAAGAAAGGAGTAGATTTTGAGGAGATTTTTTCTCCTGTGGTGAAAATGACCTCGGTCCGAACCGTGTTAGCCATGGCGGCTTCGATGGACCTCGAGGTAGAACAAATGGACGTGAAGACGACATTTCTTCACGGTGATTTAGAAGAAGAAATATATATGGAGCAACCTGAAGGATTCCAAGCTCCAGACCAAGAAGACTTGGTATGTCGGTTGAAGAAGAGCCTCTATGGCTTGAAGCAAGCACCTCGGCAGTGGTACAAGAAGTTTGAATCATTCATGACTGATCACAAGTTTGAGAAGACTGAAGCCGACCACTGCGTATTTGTGAAGAGGTATGAGGCCGGAGATTTTCTGATTTTGTTGTTATATGTTGACGACATGCTTATTGTAGGGAAAGATAAATCGAGGGTAGCCGCCCTGAAAAAGGCGTTGAGCTCGTCCTTCGCAATGAAGGACCTCGGCCCTGCAAAGCAGATTCTCGGAATCAAGATCATCCGAGATAGACAGAAGAAGCTACTGTGGCTGAGTCAAGAGAAATATATTGAGATGATTCTGAAGAGATTCAGCATGGACAAAGCCAAAACAGTGAGCACCCCCCTTGCCGGACACATAAAGCTGAACCAGAAGCAATGTCCGAGATCTGATGAAGACAAAGAAGAGATGATGAAGGTCCCTTACCAATCCGCCGTCAGAAGCTTGATGTATGCAATGGTTTGCACTAGACCCGACTTGGCGTATGCTGTTGGAATGGTAAGCCGGTATTTGTCAAACCCCGGCAAAGAGCACTGGGAAGCGGTGAAGTGGATCTTCAAGTACCTCCGAGGTACGACCGACTTATGTCTCCGATTTGGAGAAGGAAAAGCTGAGTTGCAAGGCTACTCGGATTCTGATTTAGGGGGAGATTT